CTGCGCAAAGCATTTTTGAGTTATTGTCCGAAAAACTGGAAAATCACCCCTTTTTATTGTCTCGCCTTGACAGAGTCAAAAAGCAAGAGGTATGCTGTTTCCGGTGGAGGCAGGGTCAACAATCTATTAGTTTGTGATTAGGTCTAGTTTATGGTGAACCACTAGTGGTAGGTCAACGATATTTGGTATGCAGTTGTATTAGCATTGGCACATCTCATTACCATGGAGATTATTTGGCCTCATTCATGGTCTATTGACTTTGAAACTTTGCTTAGTTTCATATATTAGTTTGTGATAAGGTCAGTTTAAAGGGAACCGTTAGTGGTAGGTCAATGATAATTGGTAGGCAGTTGTATAAGCATTAGGACATCTCATTTCCATGGAGAATATTTGGTCCTTGCTCCTCAGTCATTGTCTATTGACTTTGAAACTTTTGCTTAGTTTACATGTATTAGTTTGTGATTAGGTCAGTTTAAGATGAACCACTAATGTTAAGTCAATGATATTTGGTATGCAAATGTATTGGCATTTGCAAGTTTCATTTCCATGGAGATTATATAACCCCACCCCCTCATTATGGTTCATCGACTTTGAAACTTTTACATAGTTTACAAGTTAATGTTTGTTTTTAGATTTGTTTAAAGGGAGAGTGACTTATGAAAAGTCAATGGTATTTGGTATGCAGTTGCATTATCAAAATAACAAATAGGCGAGACATATCTCTGTGTTAACAGTTTATATGAATAAAGTCCAAATACTCCAAAATGTAAAATCAGAAATTTTGAAAAATCAAAAGAGAACTTATGTCAATATATATAAACATTCACCAAAGTTTCAGGAAAATAATGTTTCAAAGCTTTTTTGAGTTATACATGTAGTAAGAAAACTGAAAATCTCTCATTTTTTATGAATAAAATTCCATAACTTGGAAACGTAAAATCTTAAATTTATAAACATCGAAAGGGAGCTTACATCAGTAGATTTAAACAATTTACTTTAGTTTCATGCAAATTGGTTAAAGCGTTTTTGAGTTATTTTCCGACATGTTGACGACAGACGGACAGACAGAGGGATGGAAGGACAACAGTTTACCATAATATGTACCGTAAACGGGCATATAAAAAGTAGTCTTGGTTAATTTAGAAATTACAGTTGATCAAACTAATTGATAAATGACAAATTTCTGCAGGTAGCAACACATTTTATACAAATAATATACTGCAAATAGCCATGCACTTCAAACAAACTATTGATAATCATGCTACCACCTGCTTTACTGAGAAACAGACTATTTATTTTCCTAATCCAGAATATATTTATTTAAAGTTACACTACCTTAAACCCTTTGTATATAATCTCCAACTAATTCTTAATCTATCAGAACTGTCAGATTATAAAGGGGGTAATCTAATCAATTTACTCTCAGGAGAAATGTTCTTTAGTTACTCTTGAAGGGGCTAGGACGTTTTGTGTCGTTTATATTGATTATTTTTTTTCATCTGACTTTCTAATAAGTTTTCATTAGTACTTGTACTGGTCATACAGGAAAGTAATATCCATATCATAGTATTAAAGGTAAGATAGATACAATTAATTACCACATTGTTTTGGGAAGGATTTTATACTGAATTTGTTTTAACTTTATAGCATATCATTTTGTAAGATAAAGTTAGAATAATATATGACTATATAATTTTAAAAATCATGACAGAATTTTTTATCCTATATTCTTTATGTTTGCTTTTCATAAATTATATCAGAAAAAAAAAATATATATATATTGACAATCTCCAATGGCAGTCAGCAGGGTTAAAGAACATCCGTTGTTTGACCTGCTAGTCAAATGCGTTTTGTTAATTTATACTTTTTCACTTTTTTGGTCTTTTGGAAAATTTTGTTTGTGCTGTATTTAGACCCCTCTACCAAGAAATTTGTTTTGCATGCACACGTATAAAAATTGTGGTTTTTATCCAACGCAATCATAGGTTTGAACGTTGTTTTCAATTTAGACTTGTTTATATATATATATATATATATATATGTCACAAGCTTATTGGCTTGGTGGCACGAAGTGCAAAACCATTTAATAGTCTGTTGATGTAGGGTGAGTGATTCTTGGTGTGGAAAAGTAGATATATACCTTGTTTTGCAATCAACTCCTACAGTTTTTAACCCAGATCCTTGATACTTAAGAAAGATTTCACACATATTGAATTTGTGCACCTTCTAATATAGAATTGATTGAGGAATTTTGTTCAAATTTCTAGATTTGGGAACTATGTTATTTTCTGCAATATTATCTAAAGGCAGTACTTATTTTGATGTTATCTAAAAACTCTTTCTATATATTCATTTATTATTGACCTTTCTTTATTCTATTCTCGATTCTATATTAAGATATTCTGAGCAGCCTATTTTAGTTTATGATCCATTTGTTTGTAGGCATTATTTTGGGTAAAAGCACAATTGCATAAACTGAAAGAAAATTAGTCAAATATTAAAATTTTGAAGAAATGTGTGAGAAAAGAGCTTTTATTTACTTCTTACAGAAAGTACCAATGAAAATGTTAGTTACCTTTCTTCATGTTCCAGACCATATGAGTATTTGGACCATACGTGTACAGTCTGGACCGTATGCATACTTTTTCAAAATATGCATACTGTCGGACTGTACGCGTACGGCCTACCTAATTTTAAGAAGTTGGTCGAGTTTATTAGATACAAATGTATATTACAGATCAACATAACTGAAATCTCCAATTATTATAAAAAGTTCAATTATAATTAATTGAAATAAAAACTTAATATTTTAACTATTTAAAAGAATTACGTTAATTTAATCTGTTAATCTTATTATACCCCCGCTTTAAAAAAGGGGGTATACTGTTTTACCTCTGTCTGTCCGTCCGTCCATCCGTCTATCTGTCAGTCTGTCCTTCCGTCCCATGAATGTAATTTTCATTACATTTATCTCAGGAACTACATTACAAGGATTTCTGAAATTTGGTTTCAGGGGTTATATGAGTCAGCTATACCGTGTGCTGCATTTTCAGATTCATCAAAGATTTTGATAAATGTCTAAAATTAACCCATATGGTCCAAATACATGTATGGTCCAGCTCGTACTAGACAGTATACGTATACGGTCCGGACCTACGTGTATGGTCCAAATACTCATATCGTCTGGAACATATTCCTTTACAAATTCTTATGTTAAATTTGTTTTACAATAAGTTATAGCACTGATATGAATTGATATTATTTACTACCAGTGTAGTACTTGTAACAAATAAGTAATTAACATCTAATTTGCAAACAATATGACTGCCCAACTTCACTCAGTTTGGATGAATTTATTAACAAGACCATGCTGATAGTTTTCTTAAAACATGATCAGACTATACAGATAATCATACTAATTTAATTTTGTAATCTACTTAAAACCATTCCCTAAACTTCCAAGATAAATAACAAATCTTTCTTGACAGTAATCAATATATAAAACTATTTAAGATTATCAATAATTAATGAAGGCAAATCACAGAAAGGTGTAGAAAATTGATATATGAATTTCATTAGTTATTGATTCCAGTGTAACATGAGGAGTCTGTCTAATTTAAGAGATTTTCTTTCCTGATGGCATTTCTTGTAGAAATAGTGTACTCTCATGGAATTAAGTTGGATTCTTGATATTATATTGTGCTTGAAGCTAACTTTGGGGGAAAAAAATGGCAAAATATTCCGTACATACCATTGTCAAACAGGAATTTATAACAACTTTGAATTAATATCATGAAGAACAGCAGAAATGCCCCTTCCCCTCTAAATAAAAGTAGATAATTATACCCCCGCTTTAAAAAAGTGGGGGTATACTGTTTTACCTCTGTCTGTCCATCCGTCCGTCCCATGAATATTTTTCGTCGCATCTTTCTCAGGAACTACATCATAAGGATTTCTGAAATTAGGTTTCAGAGTTTATATGAGTCAGCTATACCGTGTGATGCATTTTAAGATTCATCACTCAACAACTTCCTGTTAACCCAACACTTACATCATTTTACACATGACATCCAAGTAGTTGAAAATTTTCATTACATTTATCTCAGAAACTACATTTTACAAGGATTTCTGAAATTTGGTTTCAGGGTTTATATAAGTCAGCTATACCGTGTGATGCGTTTTCAGATTCATCACTCAACAACTTCCTGTTTATAACACTTACATTAGGGCAGGGGTGTCATCAGTGAGCAGTAGCTCGAAGTTTCACTTGTTTTGGCATGCTATTGTTTCACTAATATTGCAGTTTCCTAAAACCAATCCTATTGATGTTGAATCCATTGTGGTGAATATGCAGCCGCGTTAAGCAAGGATGGGGATGCCCGATGAAGGGCGAGTGCCATGCTTTCTGAATGTTAAAGAAACATTAAGCAACTTGAAAGGTCTGTAGTGGTCTGTGATTGGAGGTAACATTTCTGCCTATCCAAGATACCCAGATTTTCCAATGGTAGTTAAAATTTCCCTCCCATTCGTCCAGGTCAACCCACATTTCAGTCCTATCAGTTGTATTAATTGTTTATTTGCTCTCGTCCTGAATATGCATGACAAGTTTTACACTGAATGTAAAGCAAGCAACAATCATTCCATCAATCATGAACCTTAAAAAAGTACTCTCATTTCATCTTGATGTTTGTGAATACAGTTATATTGGAATTTTCCTGGCAGACTTTTCATCAATTTGATTGTTTCTTCTTTTATATTTTTCCAATGTTTTACACTCTGGTTACGTACACTTTTATATACTGAAAAATGTTGCTTTTTTGTCTCTATTTGTTCAAATATATGATAACGGTTTGACAGAGTTCGGCAAGAAAAGGGATCTTTCTAAAGATCCTAGTCCCATTAAAGTGAAGTTTACTATAAATTGAATTATCTTAAATGGGAAACTGTTTACTGTCCATTCAAATAAGTAATAGTGATTGTAATACTTCTATATTTTATAGATGTTCATAAAGAGACTGAAGTAGAAAAAGAAGAAGAAGTCAAGGAAGAAGAGGAAAAAGAAGGAGAAAAAGGAGAAGAGGACACTGAAAAACAGAACACAATGTTAGGAAAACGTACACATGCTGATGGGGCAGTTGTATCCCCTGTCAGCAAGAAAAAACGAAAAGCTAATGGCCCTGCACCTCCAAAAAATGCTCTGATGCAACTGAATGAACTAAAACCTGGACTTGAATTCAAATTTGTGTCACAAACTGGCCTTGTTCATGCACCTGTATTTACTATGTCTGTAGAAGTTAATGGAATGGCTTTTGAAGGATCAAGTACAACTAAGAAAGCAGCAAAACTGATAGCTGCAGAAAAAGCTTTGAAATCATTTGTGCAATTTCCAAATGCATCTGATGCTCATAAAGTGTTAGGACCACAAATTCAGGGGACTGATTTCACGTCTGATGTATCTATTGACCCACAAGATACAGTATTCTTCAATAACTTTGAACAAGCAAATACTAGTAATCAAAATGGCACACCTGTAACAACAGTTGCAGTGACTTCTAATGGAGCTGTCAATGCCATCACTAAAAAATCAACAGTTCCAATTAACCCTGATGGTAAAAATCCTGTTATGATATTGAATGAATTACGACCAGGACTTAAGTATGAATTTGTCAATGAACATGGTGAAAGTCATTCTAAAATGTTTACAATGAAAGTGGAAGTTGAAAAGGAAGTTTTTGAAGGAACTGCACGAAACAAGAGAATTGCCAAAGCACGAGCAGCTGCTGCAGCTCTTTTTAAAATTTATAAAATAGACACTTGTCAAGCACCAGGTATGAATTATATTAAGTATCAAGACGGTCATTTTAGCTTTGTTCACATGTAAAGTGTTCAGCAAAGATTCAAATTTGATAGCAGTATATACATGTAAATGGATTATAAGCAGGTTATCCTCTTGAGGCAAGTAAGAAAAAGACTTGATTTGACCATATAATTTTTTTTATACGACCGCAAAAAAATTTTTGGGATCGTATAATGGTATGATGTTGTCGTCTGCGTCGTCGTCTGAAGACACATTGGTTTCCGGACAATAACTTTAGTTTTAGTGAATGGATCTCTATGAAATATTTTAAGAAGGTTCAGTACCACAAAAGGAAGGTTGGGATTGATTTTGGGGGTTATGGTACCAACAGTTAAGGAATTAGGGGCCAAAAATAAGCATTTTTGTAACTTCCAGACATAACTTGTGTGTTAGTGTATGGATCTCTCTGACATTGGGGATGATGGTTCTAACCGTTTAGGAATTAGGGGCCCAAAACAAGCATTTTTCTAGTTTCAGGATAATAACATGTGTATAAGTATTTCGATTGCTCTGAAATTGTACCACAATGTTTAATACCACAAGTAGAAGGTTGGGATTCATTTTAGGGGTTATGGGGGCCAAAAACAAGCATTTTTCTAGTTTCCAGACAAGAACTTGTGTGTAAGTGTATGGATCTCTCTGACATTGTACCACAAGGTTCCATATAACAAAGGGAAGGCTGGGATTGAGTTTGGGGTTTATTGCCCCAAACATGTAGGAATTAGGGGCCAAAAAAGGGCCAAACACAAGCATTTTTCTAGTTTCCAGACAATAACTTGTGTGTAAGTGTATGGATCTCTCTGAAATTGTACTACAAGGTTCCATCTTACAAAGGATAGACTGGGATTGAGTTTTGGGGTTATTGCTCCAAGGGGGGGTTTGAAAAAGTTGGGGGTGGGGGAATTTTTTTCCCAATTTTTTAAGGGATTCATATTTTTTTTTCAAAATTTTTAGAATTTCAAATTTTTGAAAAGTTTCAAGAAGAAATCTTCAATTGCACAGTATTGCGCAATGGATTTATAAGATCTTTGACCACATTTATTTTGTGTCAGAAACCTATATCATGTCAAAAATTTGATCACAATCCAAATTCAGACAGTATAAAACGTGAATATTGTGTCCAAATTTGCCCCAACTGTTCAGGGTTCGACCTATGCGGTCGTATCAGGCTGCGCTCAGCGAAGCATTTTATTTAAATTACATTAGAAGCAATTTTCACAGCTGTTTACCTGGCCTTAAAGCTTATTATCTTGAAAACTATATTAGATTGCAGAAATGATGATCAATGAAAGATATATATACAAATAAGACATATGACCAAAACTGTCAATTCACTGAATTGTCAATTGACTGTTTATTGGAGTTATTGCCTTTTAATGAAGATTTTTATAAACTTAAAAGACTGTGAATTGTTTTGTTTTGAAAACATATAATGGGATCCTTGTACTTACTTCTGAACAAAAAAAAAATGATTGCAAAAATAGTTGCAAAAATGTCTTTTATTGTTTTATAGTCTGTACTCCTTTCTTATAGTATTTATGAATAGGTGTGTTAAACTTTTTATGCTTCCTGAAAAAAGTCTGGAGCATATAATAATTGATTCGTCTGTCCATACCTCTTTCTTCTGTGTGACAGAAACAAATGGATTTTGGTAGGTAACTTGAGTTTCCTTGCTTGATTGTAATCAAACTGATATATATATATGGTAGATATGATGAAGGAGAGGAGGCTATTTGATTTTGGGGTCAGTAGATAAAAGGTCAATGCCACTGTTACTTAAAATAGAACAAATTGGAAAATGGTAAAATTCCAGATGGAAGCTTGAGTTTCCTTTTCTTGATTGGAATGAAACTTATCTGACAACACCCCATTCTATATTCTGTTAAAGAACTTATTACATCAGCAAATAAAGTTCCTACCTACAAATTTTTGAAGGCATACATTATTACGATAAACCAGCTGATTGGTAATGCCTTTGAAACAGAAAGTAGAAAGGAGCATTATTAGATAACTGTAGGCAAAGTGAGGACACATGATCTGCATATTAATCAGATTGGACCATGGTATTTTGAACTCTCGAAATAAAAAAAAAATCTCAATAATTGTGCAGTTCAAGGAGCATCAGTTGGTAGTGCCAGCTTTTTACTTGTATTATTCTGATTAGTTTATAAATCATATAACTATTGAGATGATCCTTAATAAGAATATCTAATTTTATTTCAGACATGCAGCCAGTTCAAAGAGATGGTTCATCAGAAGTATCACACGAACTAGCCAATATTGTATCAAAACTTGTACTACTAAAATTTAGTGATCTGACAAATAGTTTTACAACTCAGTATGCTAAACGTAAAGTACTAGCTGGTGTTGTCATGACAAAGGATGATGATCCTAATTCATCACAAGTTATATGTGTAACCACAGGGACAAAATGTATAAATGGTGAATTCATAAGTGAAAAGGGTCAATCAGTCAATGATTGCCATGCTGAAATCCTGGCAAGGCGTTCTCTGTTAAACTTTTTATACTTTGAACTAGCAAAGTATTTACCACCAAATCAAAAAAATAATTTGGATGCATCTGTGTTTGACAAACGAGAGGATGGAGGATTCAGACTTAAAGAAGGAGTAAAATTTCATTTATACATCAGCACAGCACCTTGCGGGGATTCTAGAATTTTTTCACCTCATGAGGCTAAAACAGGAGAGGAAGATCCTCATCCAAACAGAAAAGCAAGAGGACAGTTGAGGACAAAAATAGAATCAGGGGAAGGAACCATTCCAGTGAAGCCATCAGGTGTCACCCAGACTTGGGATGGAATTTTACAGGGAGAAAGACTGTTAACAATGTCATGCAGTGATAAAGTAGCAAGGTGGAATGTTTTAGGAGTACAAGGTTGGTATTATTGGTAGGATCATTTAAAGGTACAGTTAAAATAAGTTTTTGTCCATCATAATTTGTCCCAACTGGCAATTTGTCAGGTAATAGACGTTTTGCATAAATATGGCATACTGCTCTGTAATCCAGACAGTCATGTTATGTTTCATTTGTTAAAATCCAACATTGATAGATTTCGAATAAGGTAGGGACATTGTGAGTTTTGGGGTTTTTTTTCAACTTGTCATGGCAAGTTACAATGTGCTGCATCGCTTTTTGAATTCCTGAATTTTAGAAAACATGTTTTTAGAGAAAGCATCACATATAAGCTTACTACAGAATACTAATAAATGAAAATAGGTACCGGTATATGAATTTCAAGATTAAATTTTTTGTTTCCTCTGCAATAAAAGAAAATATTTATGATATCAAGTGACGACAAATCCATGATAAATTCAGGTTAATGAAAAAATAATGTTTTATTCATCTGATATGTATTCTTCTCTTTTTACACAAAAACAGCAAAATGTGAAAATTAAATTCATTTTAGTGAACATTTATGTAATTTATTTGATACATTAATAATTAATGGTAACTGGTTCCTATATACTCATAAAATATCTGCTCCTCAACCATTATATCTAAAACTTCTAATAAAAAGTGTTTCCTAAAATTAATATTCTTGTTAGGCCACACCAGTTTCCCTTCTGTAATTTTTAGAAATCTAGAAGAAGGGATCTATTAGAAAGCAAGTGACTTCTTAATTTTTTTTACTGTCAGAACACAGTATTGCAATGCATAATTATTCTGAGTGTTTTTTTATTATCATGTACTAATTGAAGTCTGGGATTGAAGACATTTTTTCCTTCCAAAATGGGTGCAACAAAAATAGAAAAATAATAATGAAGATAATACAGTTGGTGTTCACTTGTTTAAAAAGTGTAAGACTTTGCATATAAACTTAAGGGAAAAAGATGTATGATGGATTGAGAGACTTAACATTATTTAAATATAACCTTTTCTGAAATAGACTTTATTTGTGAATGTGTGTACCTGATTCATCCTTTTTGTCGAGCCTTTGACTTTTGTCGAAAAAGCGAGACATAGCGATCCTACATTCCGTCAGCGTCATCGGCGGCGGCGTCCACAAATATTCACTCTGTGGTTAAAGTTTTTGAAATTTTAATAACTTTCTTAAACTATCCTGGATTTCTACCAAACTTGGACAGAAGCTTGTTTATGATCATAAGATAATATTCAAAAGTAAATTTTGTAAAAAAAAAATTCCATTTATTCCGTATTTTACTTATAAATGGACTTAGTTTTTCTGCAAGGTAACATTACGTTCACTCTGTGGTTTAAGTTTTTGAAATTTTAATAACTTTCTTAAACTATCCTGGATTTCTACCAAACTTGGAAAGAAGTTTGTTTATGATCATAAGATAGTATCCAAAAGTAAATTTTGTAAAAAAAAAAATCCATTTTTTCCGTATTTTACTTATAAATGGACTTAGTTTTTCTGCCAGTTAACATTACATTCACTCTGTGGTTAAAGTTTTTAAAATTTTAACAACTTTCTTTAACTATCCTGGATTTGTACCAAACTTGGACAGAAGCTTGTTTATGATTAAAAGCTAGTATCTAGAAGGAAATTTTGTTAAAATTTTGTTCCATTTTTTCGGTATTTTACTTTTAAATGGACTTATTTTTTTTCCAGTTAACATTACATACAGTCTGCAGTTTAAGTTTTTAAAACATTTATTAGATTCATAAACGATCCTGGATGTTTACCAAACTTGGACGGAAGCTACTTACAATCAAAAGATAGTATAGAGAGGAATATTTTTATTAATTTTTTTCCTCATTTTTGTTGAGCCTGCAATTAACAGCAAAAGTACGAATTTAAAAAAAAAAAAGTAAGCCAGATGCCAAAGAAAACACAACCTTATTTAGTTTTTTCTTCATGATAAAAGTTTATTCTAAACTACCTCTTTTGTTGACAATTTATTTTCTCTAGCTATATGCTGTGTAAATGTGTTATATATTTTGTAAGCTGGTAGGTAAGAGTGATTAATTAAATATGATATAACCCCATTATTAGGTTTTCCATATGACTGGAATAAAATGTTGATTAAAGATGAATAAAAAAATAATTTCCAGATAATAACTATAGTATACATAACTCATATTTTTATTGCAAAAATAATAATTACAGTTTCTATTATCTATTACAATGTAAATGTGAATAAACTATATATAATTTCTCAAAGTGGAAACTTTGATTTATGCTTTATATTATTGTTTATATTAGTCACTCTATATGATGGAATATTTGATATTTACACTGATTTGTATGAGCTTTAATGACTTGTGCCGAGTTCCAAATGAGGTCACAACTGGATTTTTTTATGTAAAATCTGTTTGGTTGGACTAGTTTTTATACAACCTCAAAAAATTTGCGTTCGTAAATTGCTATCATGTCGTCGTTGTCCGAAGACATTTGGTTTCCAGACAATAACTTAAGTATAAGTGAATGGATCTCTATAAAATTTAACCACAAGGTTTAATAGCGCAAAAAGAAGGTTGGGATTGATTTTGGGGGTTAAGGTCCCAACTGTTTAGGAATTAGGGGTCACAAAGGGCCAAAAAAGGCATTTTTCTAGTTTCGGACAATAACTTGTGTATAATGTATGGATCTCTATGAAATTGTACCACAAGGTTCCATACCACAAAGGGAGGGTTGGGATTTACTTTGGGGGTTATGGCCCAAACCGTTAAGGAATTAGGGGCAAAAAAAGGAATGAAAAACAAGGTTTTTCTGGTTAATGGACAATTACTTAAGTATTAGTCTATGGATCTCTATGAAATTGAAAGACACGGTTCCATACCACAAAGGGAAGGTTGGGTTTGACTTTGGGGGTTATGGCTCAAACTGTTCAGGAATAAGGGGCAAAAAAAGGGGGGGAAACAAGGTTTTCTGGTTTCCGGACAAATACTTAATACTTAAGTATTTGTCAATGGATCTCTATGAAATTGTACCACAAGGTTCCATACCACACACAGAAGGTTGGGGTCGATTTTGTGGGTTATGGCTTTAATTGTTAAGAAACTAGACTTTTCTAATACTGGCTAAGCTGGTTCTAACATAAATTATTTCTGATCTGTATAAAGAAACAACAAATACTGATATGGCAGGAGATACACACCAAACAGTGTGTGTAAATTATTATGTTTAGTTTGTAAACACTATTACTAAGTATTGTGCAACAGCAAAGTATTGCACAACAGCAAGAACTCTTCAATTGAAAATAAATACAAATCAACCAATTTCAATGAGGATTAATTTAAAGTCTTGAATTGTTTGAGATTTTTACCATGTATTTCTATATTGGATATTTGGACATTTTTAAATAAGTCTACATTGAGGTCCAAAGGGTCCAAAATTAGACTTTGTTTGATTTCATCAAAAACTGAATTCTTGTGGTTCTATGATATGCTGAATCCAACTGTGCATTCAGATTTTTAATTTTGGGCCCTGTTTTCAAATTAGTCCATATTAAGGTCCAAAGGGTCAAAAATTAAACTGTGTTTGAATTCATGTTTTTTTTTTATATGCTGAATAGCCTGTTACAATCAAAATTAAAAAATCAAACAATAGCTTGATGAAACATGATACAGGAAATCATGACAAACCTGAAACTGAATGTCATTCTAATGATTTATAATATACAGCATTGTCTTAATGCCAGATTAAATTGTTTCTAAAACAACACTTAACTTCTACAGTTTAGTTTAATCAAAGATGTTTTATATAACTTATGTTTTTTCATTGTGCAAGTGATTAAAATATATGAACATGAATGAAATACTTGCCACTGGATATTAAGCAACCAACAATCAATCAACCAAACTAAATACTCATGTAATATTGATACAGTTAAAAGAAAAGAGAAGACATATTTAAAAAAGTCATAGCTTTTAAATTTTAACTTTAAAATGTGTGTCTCTCAATTATTAGATATTACTTTTCTCATCATGGGTCCTTTAATGGAATAAAACTGTTTTTATTTTTATGTGAAACAATTTTCACGATAATAAATTTCAGAAATAAAATAGAATAAGGTGATAAATGTATTATACACGATACTTTTTTACCTGTCCTATCTGCTATATACAATAACATTGATCCTGCATTCCAATTTGTACCTAAATAGATATAAGTCATTCCAATCTGTAACTTAATAGATATAAAACATCTGTTCTAAAGTCGAATGTCATTAATAAATACAACTTTTATTGACAGACAAGATTATAAATTAAAATGATATTATTAATAAAAAAGATGTTATAATAAAAAAACGTGAGAGTCCAGTCTAGTCAAGTCCGGTCCACAGTCCAGTCCAGTCCAGTCCAGGTAAAACACTTTGCCCAGAATTTGTAGTTTCTATCCAGTTCCTCTGTCTTGCTAATTTACAATGCCTGTACAGTAATTGTTGGATTTATGGCTCTAACTGTTGGTATATATTATTGATTGATAGCCTGAAGAGACTTGTAATTAAGATTTACAGATAGCTCTGTACAATACAATTATCTACCATTAAATTTCCTTCCAACACTTATTTTTGTTGTTAACACATAGAAACATTTCCATATAGATACAGTAGATATGACAGAAGATGAAAGATCTCTTTTATTAAATGTGGTGATTTCATTTAAATCATCAACATTCCCCAGTGTCCAAGTGTGTCTTACTAGTTCATCTACAGTAATCACTAGCCTGTCAACACTGACTGGGGCTGTTAGTTGGAACCCCACACGTGGCAGGTGCATTGGACTCAAATCTTAATTGACTAGATTGTCTGTTTTGATAACAATTTTAAGGTCGTAGTTCTGCTTCCTCCACCAATAAAAAGTGGGTGCCATGATATAGCATAGTGCTGCAAGTGGCATTAAGCACCAATAATAAATCATACTTACTAGTATCATATCTGTTGAAATGAAAGCATTTAAAACATTAAGACAAATAAGACATATGGTCTAAATAGGGAAAGGAAGAGGTTTGTGCCTACATAAAACTAGTATAACTTTGTGCCAATTCAGGCTATTTGGACCATCATGTTTTATGCCACACCTAGGGGCATTGTGTTTTTCAGTCTGTGCGTCCATTCATTCGTCCGTCTGTCCCACTTCAGGTTAAAGTTTTTGATCAAGGTAGTTTTTGATGAAGTTGAAATCCAATCAACTTGAAACTTAGTACACATGTTCCCTATGATATGATCTTTCTAATTTTAATGCCAAATTAGAGTTTTGACTCCAATTTCACGGTCCATTGAACATAGAAAATGATAGTGCAAGAGGGGCATCCATGTACTATGGACACATTCTTGTTGTTTGTTGTTTTGTCTTTGCTTGTACATATATTTTTTAGGAGGATACCGGTGTTGGTTGTTGGTGTGGTCTGTTATAATGTCCAATATTTTTAGTGATTCCAGTTATTATTCTTATGTCATATAAAGTAACTTTAGTTCTGGGATTAAATAAGAGATTTCTTTTAGTCCCAGCTAATCAGACTTAACAACTTTCAAATCAGAATAAAAGTGCTGATGAGAATTAAATTGAACCAATGATGTAAGGAAATGGCAAAAAATTTTCTTGTGGAGTAATCAATTTTAATCAAATCAGTATATCTGCCAGAAAAAAAGCCTCTTCTTGTAAACTTTACTGAACACCCTTGAATCCAATATGGCAGAAAGGTTCTATGTGTGGTGCTTGTTGAGTATTGAACTTTTAATGCCAACAGGCTAAGCAGTAATGCCACCAGTATAGTGATGTTATTATTAAATACTTATAAAAATACTTTTTCTAAGGACAAATTTACTTAAAAAGAAGAGCATTATCCAACTTTTATGTAAAAATTCTTTTTTTATGCCCCACCTACGATAGAAGAGGGGCATTATGTTTTTAGGTCTGTACGTCTCTTCGTTAGTTCATCCGTCCATCCGTTCGTCAGTCCGTCTGTCAAGCTTCAGGTTAAAGTTTTTGGTCAAGGTAGTTTTTGATGAAGTTGAAGTCCAATCAACTTGAAACTTAGTAAACATGTTCCCTATGATATGATCTTTCTAATAATGCCAAATTAGAGTTTTGACCCCATTTCACGGTCCACTGAACATAGAAAATGATAGTGCGAGTGGGGCATCCGTGTACTATGGACACATTCTTGTTTGTTGTAAGTTATAATGAATATTTTCCCATCGCATGAGTTTTAACCTCACATGAGTTTTAATGAGTTTTAACCTCACATGAGTGTTAATGAGTTTGTTATTGCAATTTTTTTTTTAAAGATTTTTTTAAGTATGAAATTGTTTTTATTCTACAGAAGGGAGAGTGTAAGGTATAAATATCATCTGTTTATGGTTGATGGATATATTAATCTGATCTGAAACCACTTTGAATCCACAGATTTTACCTTACTGGTACTAGAGTAAATCATATATTGCAATGCATACAAGTGAGCAAAAAAGGCTTGATGGAGGCTTTCGTTTCTATTTCTGCCCATACTCTTGTGGCAATATATACTGCATAGTGGTTTATATTTAGTGTTAAAATTTCATTTTAACACATTTAGGACCAAACCACATTTAGGACCAAACCTGTAACCTATAAAGAAATGTCGGGGTTACTAATTAGTTGTCTCTTGTTGTGATTGATACATTGGGTCAATTTTCTATTTTAAATTAATTTCTCCTTTAGGAAAAAGTGTTTAGTACATTAAGAATTAAGAATTAATACCTTTGAGAGAGCAAGTCATTAATTTTTAACAGGTTTGACACTTTCATATGGTTTGTTTAGAGAAGAAAGGCTTGCGTATGGTGGTGTTATAATAATAAGCAATAATGTTTGTTACATTATACAAAATAACCTAACTTATATTTCATAGATATTTGCATTCAGTTTTGATTTTGGTCACTGCAGCATATTTGACTTTTTAGATCAATGACATTCTAACTGCTCTTGAATTAGGAATATTACATGGATGTCCAAGAGAGTTCACACGTTTTGCTATCATTTTTCAATGATATGAGAAAAAAACCTGTTAAAAATATGTAAATGTAGCTTTGATGATAAGTCAGCTGTCATGTAAACTTACTGTTAGCAATTTAAGTGGAACTACAGACAAATTGTAGAACTCTGCGGAATAAATTTGTCTTCCAACTTAACAATGGTGAAGATGATTAAGGCATCATTCAATGTCAAATCCACTAGAGAGAAAAAAAAACAATCCTTTAGACATTTATTTATCACAACATGTCATGGAATGTTGAAGATAGTAAATGATTATTAGTACCACTGAAATGAACAAATCAGTAGTGCCAGGTTTTTGTGTAACTCTGAGTTTCCAATTCTAACTTGTCATCTGCTGCATTTTACGCATGAAATTATTAAATGTGTTGTTTTCAATTTTTTAGATCACTGGGTCGATACCTCTGCTGGTGGACTATCAGTTCCCGAGGGTATCATCAGCTCAGTAGTCAGTACTTCGGTATTGACATGATTTATAACAAACTTTTCTAAAATTGTCCGTTTATAAATTTTAAAATTATAAAGAAACTAAGGTTTCAACTCCCTCAGGCAAAGTTGACCTTAGATGAATTTGGCTATTTGTATCAGGTATTTTTGTCATATAGCTCTTCAACTGTTTCGGTACTTCTTTGTCAAAATATATTATTTAAAAGTATTTGAGAGTTATTGAAAAATATCAATTTCCATATTTATATAAATATACTGGCAACTTTTTGAGATAATATCTCTTATCAGGACACCAAATATTCTGTCAACTTTTAGATATAATATCTCTTTTCTGGGGACCATATATACTGGAAACTGTTAGATCTAAAATCTGTTTTCATGAGATCATATATACTGGCAACTTTTAGATAAAATGTCAAACTTTTCAATTGTATAACATTCATTTTAAGTTGCTGTCCATAATCAGACCTGACTTGACTTTGAGTTTAGACATCCTGCATAGAAAAACCGACACCCAAACAGAAAAACGTTGTTTGATTTGATGATTTGTAGCTAGTATTTTAAAGTATGATAATATTATCAAAGGCTTATCTTTTTTCTATCCTGCAGATTTAAGGAGCTACTTTCATTTCAAAATCTGACTTTGAAAATTGTATGCATTATCTAAAGAATCAGTGCATCTTATTAGAAATACTTTCTAAAACTTGATATTTTCTGAATGTATTATAATAACAGTTCTCTAATAGTAGTTAAGTATGCCATCATGCTTAGAGTCATGATAAGTATGTTGATGTAGCATCACTTGATGTCAAGTATTTACATGTGATGCTATAGTAACGTGGGTATGCAAAACACATAGGTGTAGATTAGTTACAAGGTTAGAATGTTTTGTTGCAGTTATATTGTCCACAAAGGTGATTGAAACATATGTTGTTGTTGTTATGCAAGCAAGTGGCATGTTGTTTTGTTGCATCCTACCTCATATCAGAGAACATCTTTTGTACAGATAATGTCTCTACTTGTTAATATAGAGAACAAACAATTATCTTTCTTTTCATGTTGTCTTTGATGGTATACTGCCACAGTGACAACTGAATTATTTTGCATTGTTCATATTGATTTATGTCTGCCGGAACACAAAACTCCTACAAAAACTTCAAGCAAAATATACCTGTTTTATATTACTAGCCATTCCTTCTTTTTGTGCCCATTTGTATCATTTAAGTTTTTATCATTTGATAAAAATCTATACAAGCCTCAAAAGTATCCAAACTGCTTGAAATTGTTTAACTGTTTTCTACTTGTGAAAAATAATTGTGTCTTTTGTTTTATTTCACAACAGAGGCGGATTTAGGGAGGGGGTGCCTGAGCCCCACTTTTTGTGGGAAAAATTTGGTTGATTATATAGGGAATCACTGAGGCATGACTGGAGCAGGCCCCCTCTTAGGCAGTCAGTGGGCACCCCTTATCAAAATTTTTGGATAAGCTACTGCACAAAACAGCACAGTACTGTAAATCAGTGTGTGTTTGGAAGAATCAAAGTGTGTAAAGATCCTGTAATGTATGTGAAATTACTTTGAAGAAAGGAGTACACAGTAAAAAGTAATAGAAAAGGTTAAGTACCGGTAGGCATTGTGATAATAAAACATAGGTCCAGGTTAAATTCATATTCTAAGGAAAAATTATTTGGAGCTCTGATATAGATAAAAACATTATACTGTTAATTAACTGTAAATGACTTAAATGTTCTCTGTACAACTTTAATCTAAACCCACCAAGTTACAAACTGTAAATACAAAGATACATACAAATAGAACTAAAGACTAAACTTAATAACTAAACTACTAAACTAAATAGTTAACATATACAAAGTTTGTTATGTTAATAAAATATACTTATATATATATACTTTCAGGTGCTTTGTTGAGTCATTTCACTGAGCCAGTATATTATGACAGCATCATATTAGGCCACTTATATCATGCAGAACATTTGTCACGTGCTGTATTCGGTCGACTTAGTGGTATCAAAGATATCCCAAAACCATACAAACTCAACCAACCATTTCTAAGTGGAATCAGGAATCCTGAAAGTAGAATGCCAGGTAAAGCACCCAGTTTTGCAGTCAATTGGTGTTTGTCAAGTCCCACCTTAGAGGTCATCAATACTACAACTGGGAAAACGGAGCAAGGAGGAATCTCAAGACTCTGTAAACAAAGTTTGTTTAATCAGTTCTCTAAATTGTGTGGTAAAATTCCTTCCATCATAAGTCAACCAGAGTCTAGTGAACCACAACTGTACTCAGAGGCTAAAGGAAGAGTTATGGACTATCAGCTTGCCAAGGAGGAACTTTATAATACATTCCAAAGAGCTGGACTTGGTGTATGGGTGAAAAAGCCACTAGAACAGGACATGTTTCCATTAGTACAACTGTAATCATAAATATTTACAGTCATTTTATCACTCCATTATATTATCTTTTGTTGTAATTGTTTTTTAATAATTTTTTTTTTTATAAAAGCTCACTCTACAATTACTTAGTTAGATTGTTAAAAAAACAAATAGGCTTGCCTTGCCCAAATGGCCTGAGTGAGACTTTCTTATCATTTTTTTATACGCACCTTTAATGATATACCATTGTCTGTTCATTAGTCCATGCATGTCCCTGATTTGTGTCAGATTCAATTGAACTTTTGAGTTTTGATTCTCTCTTTGCCTTGGTATCTTCAGCTACTTTTTAAACAATCATTTAAGAATACTTTATGGAACATTTATCAAATGATAGGTTATAATGAAAACTAGGTAACTAACTATTTTGATTATTTTCAGATACATGCAAGTTATTTCAGAGTTATGGGGCTTTAAACGTCAAAATCTAGGCCTTTAAACTTATGTCTCATGATATAAAGATAGCTTTCAGGAATATGAATCTACTAAAAATTTATTTTAGATGATTTTCAGATCACTTGTGGAACTTTATGTATGAAAAATAGGCAATTTTTTTCAGAGGATATTTTGAGTTAACTTTCAACAAACAAAATCACATATGATTATTTGAGAATGAAGCGATTATAAAAAGTAAGCTCGCTTTTGAAATGAAAGATTTTAAGATTAATTATTCCTGAATTATGGGACTTACATCATAAAAAAAGACATTTTTTTTCAAATGCAAGTACAAGTATGCTTTCTTTATGAGCTTTTTCACACAGTTTTATTCATTCAGTAACATATGATAAATCTAAAAACAAATAACTTCTGGTGTAGACTTTAATAATTTACTAAAAATGACTGAACCAACCTCCTAGTAGATATATTGAGCTGATTTTTTGTTTGTTATTGGAATTGTTCTCAACCTTTGAATAAATACTTGAAACCCTTGTATACATCACGTTTATTTGAACTGTCGGAAATGTACATTTGATAGTTAGGCTGGTGTGGACATTTGTGTTGCACTAACAAATATAGTTTAGCATGTTATAGTGAAATTAAAAAAATAATTCAAGTAGAAACATAATACTTAAGTATTTTAACATGCTTGAATAATTAATGATTTTGGTTTCCTAGATGAATCCCGAGTCTAGTTGTTTATGCTGTACTTCCGTAATCCAACATTTTGGTCCGACAGGTTATTCCCATTCAGCTGGTTTTTTATACGACCGCAAAAATTGAAAATTTTTTGGTCGTATATTGGTATGACGTTGGCGTCGTCGTCGTCGTCGTCGTCGTTGTCGTCGTCGTCCGGCGTCGTCCGAAGACACATTGGTTTTCGCACTCTAACTTTAGTTTAAGTGAATGGATCTCTATGAAATTTTACCATAAGGTTTAATACCACAAAAGGAAGGTTGGGATTGATTTTGGGGGTTATGGTACCAACAGTTAAGGAATTAGGGGCCAAAAAGGGGCCAAAAATAAGCATTTTTGTAACTTCCAGACATAACTTGTGTGTTAGTGTATGGATCTCTCTGACATTGTACCACAAGGTTCCATATCACACAGGGAATGCTGGGATTAATTTTGGGGGTAATTGCCTCAAAATAATAGGAATTAGGGGCCAAAAAAGGGGCAAAAAACAAGCATTTTTTTAGTTTCATGACAATAACTTGTGTGTAAGTGTATGGATCTTTCTGAAATTGTACTACAAGGTTCCATATCACAAAGGGAAAGCTGGAATTGAGTTTGGGGGTAATTGCCCAAAACGTTTAGGAATAAGGGGCCAAAAAGGGGCCAAAAATAAGCATTTTTCTAGTTTCCAGACAATAGCTTGTGTTCAAGTGTATGGATCTCTCTGAAATTGTACCACAAGGTTCCATATCACACAGGGAATGCTGGGATTGATTTTGGGGGTAATTGCCCAAAACGTTTAGGAATAAGGGGCCAAAAAGGGGCCAAAAATAAGCATTTTTCTAGTTTCCAGACAATAACTTGTGTTCAAGTGTATGGATCTCTCTGAAATTGTACTGCAAGGTACCATACCACAAAGGGAAAGCTGGGATTGAGTTTGGGGGTGATGAATCATAAGGGGGTTCAAAAAATTTGGGGGGGTGGATTTTTTTTTTTTTCCTTTTTTTTTTCTTTTAAAATTTTCCATTTTAAGTTGGTTATTTCTGTTTTATATTTAAAAGCAAATAATAATGATATGGTAGGAGATACACACCAAACAGGATGTGTAAATTATTATATAATAAGTATTGTGCAATAGCAAGAAATTTTCAATTGCACAGTATTGCACAATAGCAAGAAATCTTCAATTGCACAGTATTGCGCAATAGCAAGAAATCTTCAATTGCACAGTATTGTGCAATAGCAAGAAATATCCAATAGCACAATATTGCGCAATAGCAAGAAATTGTCAATTGTACAGTATTGCGCAATAGCAAGAAATATTCAATTGCACAGTATTGTACAAAAGAAGATACTTCGTATAAATTGCTTATTTCTTGACCAATTTCAATGGGGTTTTATTCTTGAATTCTTGGGGTTCTTTAATATGCTGATTCTAACCGTGTATTAAGTTTTTGGATTTTGGGCCCCGTTTTTAAATTGGTCCACATTGAGGTCCAAAGGGTCCAAAATTAAACTTTGTTTGATTTCATCAAAAATTGAATTATTGGGGTTCTTTGATATGCTGAATCTAACCGTGTATTTAGATTCTTAATTTTTGGTTCTGTTTTCAAATTGGTCTACATTAAGGTCCAAAGGGTCCAAAATTAAACTTAGTTTGATTTTAACAAAAATTGAATTCTTAGGATTCTTTGATATGCTGAATCTAAACATGTATTTAGATTTTTGATTATGGGCCCAGTTTTCAAGTTGGTCCAAATCGGGGTCCAAAATTAAACTTTGTTTGATTTCAACAAAAATTGAATATATGGGGTTCTTTGATATGCTGAATCTAACCATGTATTTAGATTTTTGATTTTTGGGCCCCATTATCAACTTAGTCCACATTGAGGTCAAAAGGGTCCAAAATTAAACTTTGTTTGATTTCATCAAAAATTGAATTCTTGGGGTTCTTTGATATGCTGAATCTAACCATGTATTTAGATTTTGGATATTGGACCATAATAGTTGAATGTCCAATTTAAAATTTTTAAGTTCTTAGACCACATTCATTCTGTGTCAGAAACCTATGCTGTGTCAAATATTTAATCACAATCCAAATTCAGAGCTGTATCAAGCTTGAATGTTGTGTCCATACTTGCCCCAACTGTTTCAGGGTTCGACCTCTGCGGTCGTATCAAGCTGCGCCCTGCGGAGCATTTTATTTTATTTATTAGGGTATATAATGAGTTAAGGATTGAGTTTGTTTTATGTACCAGTTACCGTCTTTTCAAAAATTCTAGGTCCTTGGAAAAATGTTTTGAAATTGTACTGGTCAAGACATCTTCTTCATTATGCCTTGATAATATTTTTAAAAGTGAATAATAGAGATGAACAGATCAAGTCTGTGTTTGGTTTTAATTGACTTAATTTTGGCAGTATTACAGAGTTCTGCCATCTTTCACTAGAATTTAAACCATGAAGAGTTCCATTTATGTTTAGAAAAATATTTAGTTTAAACAAAAGTTACAAAGGTACATGTAGTTAAGGAGCTTTGATATCACCACAATAAATGATAATTATTATTTACCAAAAAGCCCCTCTTATACATTTATAAAAATTTTAAATAGATTCTTCAAATGTTTCTAGAGTTTCAAATATATACATTTTTTGTGCTACATGATATTCTAATGAGTCAAGCCATTTCCAAATGAATTTCACAGTTTGTACTTAAGCTTTACTGTTACACCACTGTCCTGGGTGAGGGAAGGCTAGAGTGCTCACAAACATGTTTAACCCTGCCACTTTCTTTATGTGCCAGTCCCAAGTCATGAGCCTGTAATTCAGTAGTTGTAATTAGCTGCCCTCTGTCATATTTATTTTTTTGTTTATTGTATAAGCTTAAATCAGACGGTTGATATTTTATTTGCCTTCTGTAGCTTACTATACGGTATAGGATTTTGCTTTTTTTTTTAAGGCAATGTTTTGACCTGTAGTTGTTTGATTCCATGTCATTTGGTCTCTGCATGGTGGATAGTTGTCTCATTGGCAATCACACCACGTCTCTTTAATTTTATGGAACATGCAAAAACCAACTAGATAATCAGCCATGATATTGTCTATAGATATGAAAGAAAGACTTTGCTTCTTAATAATAGCTTGGACAAATATTGCCAAAAATTAGCCACTTTGTATTATTTTTCACAAAAGAAAATCAATTTATCTTTTCTTTCTTCCCAAAAATTTTATTTTGAAGAAGGTAGAGTTATCTATAAAACATAATAATAGTTTCTACTATTTAATTCAAAATAAATGATATATTTAAAAAATTGTCAAGAAACATTTCTTTTAGGAGAGTAAGCAAATTTAAACAGGAAGAAAATGATGTGTATTATTTGTATGGTAGGGAATTATATTATATTATATAATGTTCTACTAATTTTCACTATAATTTGAAACAAAGCAAAAAAGAATAGAAGAAAAACACTGTAAAAAGTAATATGTTATAAAAAAGATATATCTGTTATGCTTTTTAACTGATAGAAGTAATATTATTACACAGAGTGAAAAAGTAATGATATTTTAGCTTCATTGTAGAAAGTTGGCACAAGATAACAATAATATTTAATCTTAATTTTAGCTTTTAAATCAAAGTTGTGTAACTTAATTGAAAGGTTTTATGCAAAACAACATTAGCATCTTTGAATAAAATGTCTTGTTGCAAAATATTTTTTTGGGGTAAGGGTGGCTTGGCTCATATAATTATAAATATTAATGATAAGGAATTAAAATTAGGGTATCTTTGCAGTTTTTTTAAATAAATGAAAGAAGTTTGAAAATTAAAATACTGAAATGACAAACTAATATCTTATGAACATCTGATGAACGATACATGGTAAATTTATGATACTTTTAGATTTACATATTTGGGTGCCATAAAAAGTAGCTTCATAATAAGGTCTCCTTGGTATTTTGCTGGACACTTAGTTAACCCACTTATTGCACTAAATCAATGAAATAAGTAGCCAATGAAAAATAATGAATCCACAGTATCAATACATGAATATGGTAATTACAGTGTGGTCACTTAGTTGCATGAATGTCATTTATTTTGTCACAGTGTTGTCATGTCAAAATCGAAATATATTTGATCTAAATTAGTTATTTTACACACAAAAATTAAAGCTTAAGTGAAAAATAGACTTACTCAAAAAGACATTTTACTTATGTTAACATTTTTTAGAGGAAATCTTGTAGCAAAATATATTTTGGGGAATGTCTGTTGCTCATAACTATAAGTAAATGACAATACATGTATCTCAAAAAGGGTTATTTTGGAAATTTTACAGCTTTTCCTCAATTGCAAGAAGTTTGAAGGCATAAACAAATATTAATGGTAAAATTAAAAAGATATGGATATCTGATAGACTAATATTCAAAATATTTACTTGTATGTTTTGATTTTAGAATTCAAGGGACAGAAAATTTGTCCATATCATACCTCCTTAACTTTCACAGAAATTGAAAAAATATGCATTAAATAGGTTTATACAGGCATACAAGTCCTCTTATGTTGGGTGTTTTTGTATTCATTTGTATTTAGGAAAGGTTGGTAAGTTAATTTTGTATTCATTTGATTGATTGATTACTGCTTGCTTAACATCTTATTTATTGGAGGTTCTACCAATTAAGTAAGTGACAAACAGTGCATAAAAAGTGAAAATTTAAACATTTATCCTGAGAGATAACCCTGCAATAACATTACATTGACTTATCTTGTAAATAAGAACAAGAAAAACTGATGCCATATCATGTCTTGATTGAAATGGTATTACATACTA